CAAACTCAATGCCCTTGGGTCAATGCCCATTCAGAGCGACCCTAGAGGACAGACCCCTGTGAGTTTGCAGCGCTAGAAAGCTCCGTCTTTCTCTTACAAGAGCAGCTGGTGGCTTCGAAGTGATGCCTTTCAATACATTACGTAAGCACCACACCACCAGGGCTCCTATTTCTATTTGCACTCCTGTGGGCTATGGCTCTGCTAGACTCCTCAGCCTCATCTGTGAGCACCGCCCTGCTCATGACATTCGGTCAACTCAGCTTTGCCAACATTCTGAAAATCTTTACTACTTCGGAGCCTCAACATACGCGATCCCTTTTCATGGAATAGTCACCTTCCCCGGGATGCCTACCTGTCACCTGTTGGCATCTACTTTTCAGAGGCCCTGACCCGCCTTTCTAAGTAAAGTAAACCTCAGCTTGCATTCCAACATTTTATAGCTTGTTGTTGTCAGGGGCTGTCCGTCACATCAGCGTATTAGTCCCCCAACCTGCTACAACCGAACAATCCCTCCCATTGAGGTCTTCTTCTTTATTCTCTGACTCTCTACTTTACTTAGGGAGCCCAATGGGTGCTTTTGAATTATGGTTTGGGGAAGCGTATGAAGAAAACCACAGGCAGCCCGAAGAATAAACAAATCTGCATTGGAAGAAGTACAACCAGAATGCGCTTTTGAAGTGAGAGTGGCGAGACTTTGTCTCAGCTAATTTGGACATGTCATCAGGAAGGACTGGCTAGTCCCTGGAGAGGGATATCATGGTTGGGAAAGTAGAGGGTCCGATCAAAAGATGAAAACCTTCAAAGAGATGGATTGGCACAGTGGCTGCAGCAACAGGCTCAATCACAAGAATGAGTTGTGAAGACGGCACAGAATCAGGCAGCATGTTGTGTTCTGTTCTACGTGAGATGGCTGTGAGCCGGAGCTGACTTGACACAGCCTAACAACAATAGCAAAACAACAAACAGGACAGAGACACACATACACACACGTACACACACGGGCTTTAAAAAGTTTGTGGCGAATGTGTAGGAGTGATTTTCCCTCTGGTGCCCTTGCTGGATTGTGCAAAGCAGAACCCACTCACGTGCACACAGGTAGTCATGATGGAATGTTTAATTTAGACGCCATTTTCAGGCAAGGGAGGAGGTGAGGTTGACTAGTAGGGGAGGGGTGGTGGGGAGGTCCAGGTGGGCATGAGGGCTGTCTAGTTGGCAGCGATGGTCTGCTGAATCC